TTTATTCCACTGAGAAATCTTTAAAAAAATCAAAATCACGCCAATTTTGCAGCAGTTACTGTCCCCTCACCTGGCATGATCATCTGTTTTATGGTATATCTAGTGGTTTTACAAGGTTAAGTATGAAAACGAAATATGTTTGGCATGGCTTGGCTAGTCCGCATGATAATTTTCAAAACAATCGGTCAATGCGGACAATAAACTTATTTGCAGGTAGGGGGAATGAATTGAAACCCGCTTCTGTATTACCTAGTGAATGTGAATTGAACTGAATATAAACCATTAAAACCGAACTTCCTTTAAAAAAAACGAAAAATAATCACGATTTTTAAGTTTTCACGAAAGTTCAGGGACATTTGATTTTTTAGGAAAAAATCTAATGCAGTTCCACTCTCGACTGAAGAAACTTTGATGTTATATCGCTAGAGTCTTTCTTATGCTTGATTGTGGTACACCATTAATTAGGGTGAACCACTAAGTTTGGGGGAAAAAATTTTGATACACCCGAATACAAAGTTTCTTCTTTTTTCAGTGGTAAAAATAACACCTTTAGCTTAAAATTTAACTTTACACGGAACACACACCGTTAAAGTATTCCTTCCTCAATTTATACATCTTTGTGAAACATAAAAACAATCAGATTGGTTTACGCGTAGAATCATGCCAACTCGGGTTCACTCCAAGTGTTCGTGTGGCGGGTTACTCAATGCACGATGACGCCAAAGTTAATTTACCGCATGATGGTCAAGTCTTTTTTACGAAATAAAAAATAGAAGGCATCGTTTTGCATGCAACCCAAAATTCTCCGATCACAAAAACTTTACAGAAGCAAACGGACAAAAAGTTCGAAAACGCTCTTTTTCATTTCTTTTCCAACTTTTCTGCTACGTCTTCTTAGAAGGCAAATGGTTTAGATTGAAAACTACAATATTTGAGGTAATCATAGCTAAAACTTTCCTTTTTTAAAAAAAAAAGCTATCACGCTGCAGCCTCAAAAATTCTAGCATTTTTCATTATTCACATTTTGTTTTGATAAAACAGGTCAAAATTGAGAAAACTGATCCAAAGGTTACTTTTTTTATTGCACTGAGAAATCTTCATTTAAATCAAAATCACGCCATCTTTGCACCAGTTACTGTCCCCTCAAATTGCATGATCATCGATTTTTATGGTGTATCTAATGGTTTTACAAGGTTAAGTATGAAAACGAAATATGTTTGGCATGGCTTGGTTAGTCCGCATGATAATTTTCAAAACAATCGGACAATGCGGACAATAATTTCACTTGCAGGCAGGTAGAAAGAAAGAAAACCCGCTTCCGTATTACCTAGTGAATGTGAATTGAACTGAAAAAGACAAACCGTTAAAACCAAATTCGAGCGGGAACAAACTTCCTTTAAAAAAAACGAACAATAATCACGATTTTTATGTTTTCACTTAAGTTCAATGACATTTGATTTTTTAGGAGAAAATCTAATGCCATTCCACTCGCGACTGAAGAAACTTTGATATGTTATATCGCTAGACCCATTCTTATGCTTGATTGTGGTACACCATTAATTGTGTTGAACCACTAATTTTGGGAAAAAAATGTTGACAACCGAATACAAAGTTTCTTCTTTTTTTCAGTGGTAAAAATAATACCACTACCTTAAAATTCAACTTCACATGGAACACACATGTTAAAGTATTCCTTCCTCAATTTCGATATCCTTGTGAACTATAAAAACAATCAGATTGGTTTACGCGTAGAATCATGCCAACTCGGGTTCACTCCAAGTGTTCGTGTGGCGGGTTACTCAATGCACGTTGACGCCAAAGTTAATTTAACGCATGATGGTCAAGTTTTTTTTACAAAATAAAAAACATAAGGCATTGTTTTGCATACAACCCAGAATGCTCCGAACACAAAAATTCTACAGAAGCGAACGGACAAAAAGTTCGAAAACGCACTTTTTCATTTCTTTTCCAACTTTTCTGCTACTTCTTCTATTAGAAGGCAAATGGTTTAGATTGAAAATTACAATATTTGAGGTAATCATCGCTAAAACTTTCATTTTTTTTAAAAAAGGCTATCACGCTGCAGCCTCAAAATTTCTAGCATCTTTCATTTTTAACATTTTGTTTTTATAAAAACAGGTCCAAAGAGAGAAAATTGATCATAAGGTTACTTTTTTTATTCCTTGAGAAATCTTATTTTAAATCCAAATCACGCCAATTTTGCACCAGTTACTGTCCCCTCATCTCGCATGATCATCGATTTTTATGGTGTATCTAGTGGTTTTACTAGGTAAAGTATGAAAACGAAATATGTTTGGCATGGCTTGGTTAGTCCGCATGATAATTTTCAAAACAATCGGACAAGGCGGACAATATTTTCACTTGCAGGTAGGTAGAAAGAAAGAGAACCCGATTCTGTATTACCTAGTGAATGTGAATTGAACTGAAAAAGACAAACCGTTAAAACCAAATTCGAGCGGGAACAAACTTCCTTTAAAAAAAACGAACAATAATCACAATTTTTATGTTTTCACTTATGTTCAATGACATTTGATTTTTTAGGAAAAAATCTGATGCCGTTCGACTCGCGACCAAGAAATTTTGATGTTATATCACTAGAGCCATTCTGATCTTGATTGTGGTACACCATTAATTGTGGTGAACCATTAATTTTGGGAAAAAAACTGTTGATACACCCGAATACAAAGTTTCTTCCTTTTTTAATGGTAAAAATAACACCATTAACTTAAATTTTACTTTACACAGTTAAAGTATTCTTTCTCAATTTAGACAACCTTGTGAATTATAAAAACAATCAGATTGGTTTACGCATAGAATCATGCCAACTCGGGTTCACTCCAAGTGTTCGTGCGACGGGATACTCAATGCACGTTGACGCCAAAGTTAATTTAACGCATGATCGTCAAGTCTTTTTTACGAAATAAAAAAAAGAAGGCATTGTTTTGCATGCAACCCAGAATGCTCTGACCACAAAAATTTTACAGTAGCAAACGGACAAAAAGTTCGAAAACGCACTTTTTAATTTCTTTTCCAACTTTTCTGCTGCTTCTTCTATTAGAAGGCAAATGGTTAGGGTTGAAAATTACAAAATTTGAGGTAATCATCGCTAAATTAACAATTAAGAAATGGAACTTGATCCAAAAAAAATGAAAAATTCGTACCAGTTTCTCTCGCAGCCGAATTCCATACTTGATATAGCGTTTTTACCCAGCACTTGAACCTGCAATGAAAATTGCTGACAGCCCAAGAAACTTCTGCGATGTGGCAACTAAGCCGACTAAACAATCAGACAAACGAAAGTCCGACAATTAAATTATTCCGGAAAAAAGTTCAATTTCAAATATACTGGAAAAAAAACATCCAACCGTGACTCGAACCCCGGACTATCCGATGCAAAGTATATTCGAGTTACCTCTAGGGCAAGTGTAAAGGAGTCTCGAAATTCCTAAGATTTACTAATAAAGCAACTTCAAATTCGTACAGACTTGGAAGAAAAGTTAGTTCAGGAAAAGGTCTAGTTCACGGTTACAAGTGTATATATGATACCAGACATGATCCCTTCAGCTGGCTATAATTAGGCAACAGTACTTAATTAACTCTGCGCCATACTTATTTTCAGAATCTTTTCAGCACAAAAAAGTGGGACTGGTTTTATCACACAAATGATGTTTGCCTGTGCAATCAAATCTATTAATCTAAATCTTGTCTTTTTTTCTCAGAAAAATATACTGTTATAATCGTTGCTATCAAAATCATTGCTATTCGATGACTTTTGCTGAATCATCATCATATTCAATTGAAAGACTTCAAAATGTATATTTTGATTGAACAGCAATTTCATCAAACGTTTTGGAAGAGGTTGAACACCCTTCCAGGATTAGCAGTATAACAGTATAAGAAAATTGAGGTTTTCGCTCAAATTTAAATTTCAGCTCAGCAATGATTTTGATAGCAACGATTAACAAGGTTTATATTAAGTATATATTTAATTTTATAACACAGAGGCAAAGTTGCACTTCGCATACACAAGCAAAAATATGACCCTTAACGCTAGTGGGAAAAACTGAATGAGTAAAATTTCGAGTCTACAAAACTTCTTAAGTGACGCATGCCAATTATGAGTCTATATAATTACTAAAAAACGTAAACCAATTATGCCGCATTATCAGTACCAGTCAATTTGAAAAAAAAAAGAAATCTACCTACTAACATGCCTCAATTTATAAAGCGGTAAACTAGTATACGAAGTTCATTAAAAACATCCGACCCTGCCCAGGTTCGAACCCTCTATTTTGTTGCTCGTCTCCTTCCCTATCTCTACGCTAGAGATCCATGATACCTTGAAGCTAAAGTGCTATTTGTAATATAATAGTCAGTATTATTATCCTTAGCATAGGCTGTACTTAATAGCCGGAAAAAAATGAACACTTTCAAAATGAACACATTTTGTCGCAACAACTGCATCGCAACAAAATTTGCGACTTACGTTGGAAAAAAAAGAAAGTTCATACTATAACACAATCTATGCTTGTGTAATAAAGTATATATTTAAATTTATGATAAGTATAAATTTAAAAAAATAATAAATACTTTTTTTAATAGATGGACTCACGGGCGGACCAAAAATGGGGTTGAGATTTTCGACGGAGCTTTTTCGGAAAAAAAATGAAAACATCATTGTAAACGCCACATCTTGAAAACCAAAATGATTTGAGCAGTCATACATGGACGCCAGACTTGCAAATCCAGAGTGTAACCTGACAGCACCCCTCTATAGATTGAGAATGTCAAAAATTCGATTAAATTTTTTTATATCTTAGTGTTTGAAAAAAAAAATTGAAAAACTCAAAAAAAGAACGCCATATCTCGAAAACCAAAAGGTTTTGAGCAGTCAAGTTTGAACCGAAAAAAAACTATAAAAATAAATTCGAAACTCAGCGAAACATCAACTAAGGACAAAATGTGCTTATTTTGAATGACTACATGACAATCAGTTCCAATTCATTGTCAAATGAAAATATACAATGCATGGTAGTTGCACTATCGCCAAACACTTGCATACATTTACTTTTTTTATCGTTAGCGTGGTTCAGAACTCTCCCCTTCCTGTCAGTCAGTGCGTGTATTAGATACTTCTCCCCAAACATTACGACGGCTATTTCTGAAAACAGGTTTATCGGCAGCTTGAACATCGGTATTCGGATCAATCGTTCAATATTCGGCATATTAAGTTTAATCCTATCAACGACTATATTGAAATCCTCCCGGTGCTTTCGGAATCCGTCCTCCAAAACTGGTCTCTGATCGATGTAGTCAAGGAAGGATGCTCCAAAAACTTTTTGTACCCAGTTCATTGTATGGAAATGGTGCACAGTTTCAGGTCCACTGCACTTTTCCGCGAAGTCTATAAAGTCATGCCTGTGCCAATAATCAGGCACGTTATTCCAATCAATCATGTAAGGATTCAGTTCCTTGATCTCAGAGGCACATTTGGTATCGTTAATGTCGATAGATTTCACAGCCAAATGACATACCAACTTTTCCTCTTGAATGAACCCCCGCAATCTAGCAAAGTTTTCGGAAGTTTTTGAGGTTATGCACCTGATAAGAGACTCATCACTCGGCTTTGAAATACCCAAGTCTTGAGCCATATCAATTGTGTTGAAGAAATCCTCGAATTTCATTTTCTTCCAGCTGTCAGTGCTATCAGGGAACATTGTGCAATTTCCACATACTACATCCTCCGTCGTGAAAATGCAACCCGTGAACAGGTAGCGGGCAAAATCCATTCTGTCATCTTCAGCTTTCAGATTATCCAAGGGCTCGAAGTCGATAGATCGCAGGTGCTCCACAAATGCATCTTGTGCAAACTTCACTGTCATGCTTTTCTTTCGGTTCCAACATTGAGCATACTTGGTGAGCAGGTCATTTCCAAGTTTTGGTATCTTGAGTTGCACAAATTTTTCAAACTCCTCTTTCGTTTCTTTATCCCAGCATGACGAAAACCAAACTTGCAGAATCGTTTTGCCACTTACTTCGGTTTTGCCACTTTTCATCATCTCGTAGATCAACATGCTTCTTGCTACTGTCACTTCAGCTTGGTCGTAACCATAGAAACGCATCACTCCTTCGGGTTCATTATGAAATACACCCCATAAAAGTTGACTGAGATCGACATAGCCAACGGAGACGAAATTCCGACCAAAATCATAAACAAGCTGCTTAATTGTAGTGTTTCGCAGTATTTGTTCATGATTTATGGTGTTGGTTGCTCCCGTGCGCATATCAGTTTCGGTCAAGTATGGCGCTATCGGTTTCTCCCAAATATCTCCAAAATCGTTTCGTTGCATAAACTCTTCAAAAGATTTAGTGTCGGTTATAGCCCATCGCTCGACTAATCGATCTCGTGAAAATTCTTCATCTGTAAAAGCATCGCCTCCCTCTTCAATCTCTGCGAACGTAGAAATGGCGCTCAGATGCTGAGCCTTCAACTTTATCACTTGATCCATTCTGTCGGGATATCTTCGCTGATATTCATCAGCATAATTGGGTATTAGATGCTGATTCCTCTCTATGATCCGTTCGATATCTTCTCGCGTTTTCTTCGACTGTGAGTTGTTATCCCCCATGTTGTGAACCTCGCTCTGTTTTTGAGAGCCAATTTTACCCGGAGCCGGTTTTTTGCAGCTTTTTATGTGGGCTTTCCAATCCTGCAGTTGGCAGTCCTATGAAGACAAAATTTCTTAATTGCAGCTAAAATTTAAACAAAAAGACAAGGATAGTCGGTTGCTCAGAGCAGGTAACAAAAAAACTTTCAGTGGAGAGCGATTGCATTAGTAAACGGTCATTCTTTTAATTTTAATATTTTTGTTTCGGACAGTTATTTCACTAATTTGACATCAGCTGAAAAAGGATACCACGAGCAGCTTACAACACATGAAATAACAAATCAGTGCTTTGAGCCCATGGCTCATATGGTGAAATGTGACCCTAGACAGGGCAAATACATGTCAGTGTGTTTACTGTACCGGGGAGCAGTGACACCTAAAGATGTGAATGTGGCCATTGCGAATATCAAGAGCAAGAGCACGATCAATTTCGTTGACTGGTGTCCTACTGGGTTTAAAGTGGGCATTAATTATCAACCTCCGACTGTTGTGCCAGGTGAAGATTTAGCCAAGGTTAGTTTAAGTTATAAACTATTGGAAACGTTCAAAATATTGAACAAATATACCACAAAGCTTTTTGGCTCTTTTTTTTCTTTAAGACTCTTGGAAAATTTCAATTTCCTTACAACAAAAAAAACTACGATGGCGCGGAAAAAACAGACTGAAGGATGGCCGTATTAAATGACAATTTATTTTCGAAAACTGCAAAGCAGTAGGTTATTTGGACGAGCAGTAAAAAGTCACCTTAAAAACCAAACGTGCTCATTTACCGGGCCGAAAAAAAGCTAAATTTACCAACGAAAACCGAGAAAAAACCACAAACACCAAAAACGCTCGCCGATAGATTTTCTTCAGCGCACACAATGGCTAGCTTCCTTATGCCACCGACAATACCGAGTTAATCAAATCTCTTCGTAGCATGAACAGGATAAAGCAGCAAGCTTTACAAACAATTTCGAAACGAAAAATGTTCAGAGCGTCAACAAAATTCCAAAATCTGTTGAAATCACACGAAGCAGAGATACGTTCTTCTACTAAGATTTTGGTAAATCAGAAAGTCTATTTTTTTCATTGCAAAATTAACTGCGCTCGATTTGTTTTCTCAATCTGGCATCTGCAACTGCGACGGAAAGTTTTCAGTGGTCCGAGATATTTTCTACCAAGCTTACAGCATACATGGTCTGATCCAAAATATACATACACGCTCTGCTGCCCGAAAAGACTCTAGATACGTACAAAAAAAATTTCGGCTGCTCAGAGCAATTAAAATTGATTTTAAAGCCGCCACTCGCAACGCCATAAATAGAACGCAGCCTGGTGCAGAAGTTCATTTTTCCACCCAGGCCAGGCAGTAAGGTGCAATGTTGAAAAAAATGATTTTAGCGCAAGTAGATGAGCGATGATGTTTTTCGACTAAACATCAAAAAATTTAATTTGTTTGGCATAAATTACCGTTGATGATGTAACGTTCAAAAAATTAGAGCCTTCAGAGGAATATCGAAGTATAGCTGACTACTTCGAAAACACTTGAGTGGCAGCTTGAATAAATTCGCACCAACAAAGCACCCATCCCTTCCCAAGATCATCGCACATTTTCAAAAGGAGCAAAAACGCCGAAATCAAAAAGAGACTATGGTCAATGATACAGACAGAAACTGAAATATTCAATCGCCAACGAGAAATTCTCGCAAAATGGAAGTAACTACAATCGAGCCCATGTAAAGAAGTATTTATAACTTTGTACCTTCAATGTCCACATCCTAATAACTTTATGCGTAGCAAATTCACTTTGTTCCTTGATGTTTCATTTTCGCGCTCTAATCAAAAAAGAAAATTTTCTTTTGATCTGGTCTCTTTATTTTTATTTGGCCGAAATATCTTCGGTTGACTTGTCTGAGTTACTTTTGGCTGAATGTCTGTATTTGAAATTGGCTGATTCGTCTACATCGACTGAATCTGTTTATTAAATTTGATTGGCTTAATTACCCTATTGGGTTCAATAACTTGAGTTTCATGAACAAGTTGCTAAAGACGATGAAATTTTGATTTTAAGCTGTTTTAAGTCAATCTGCTCATTACACCCTCTTCATAACAACAGTACCTTGGAGCAGTAGTAGACGGTTCTACAGCCAGTGCAGGCCTTAGCATTGGCTTCCCCGCACACTTTGCAATTCATCTTCTCGGCAGATTCGTCCTATCCCAGATTAAATTTCAGTGCAGTTGATTTCCGACAGTTTTTTCACCAGCAGCAGCAGTAAGCAGAATATAAGACAGAAAAATTTATAGAGAACAATTTTTGCGAAGCAGAACAATTTTTGCGAAGGAGTAGAATTTCAGCTATACGGCAGCAGAAACCCACACGGGTTTGAAGTAGGAAAATTAACGGTTTTTTGATGAACTCAAATAGCTCGATATAGCATTAGGACATTTCTCAGAAATGTAAAATCAAACTAATAAAAATAACGCAAATTTATTTAACTGAACACTACGATACATGTACTAACAAAAACGATACAAAAGTTAATGGTATGAAATAAGCAAAATGAATACAAAAAAAAAACAATTATACCTCCTCACGCTCAACCAAACAGTCATTTAAAATTACAACAGACGTAAATAAAACAGCTCATTTTGTTAACTGTCCCCCTTTTGAAAAACAGAATGGTCCAAAAACAGAAAGCATCTAAGAGCAGGAGAGCAGACAAACGTTGATTTTCATGGGCTAACCCATAAAAAAGTTAAATTATTAGAATAGTCGAATATCTAACAATTTTCTCCCCTTCGGTAACTAGTTAACTAGTAACGAATTGCCATCCCTATAATGAACAATTTTGACGTTAAGCGTTTGTGATTTTAGTACCTAGTAATGAATACCCCCATTTGCAATGGAGGGGGATAGTTAAAAGAAATTTTGAATGTTGTTTGATTAATTCTTTTCAATGGTAATATTGACGATTATAATACTTGTCTTCTCGATTAGCTCATTAAATTCAATACTTGACTGTTTTTCTGCTCATAGACCATTCTATATACTGCTTGTTGACCAGCATATACACAAAAACATGAGTTTCATGAACAAATCTTAATTTCTTTTCGTACCTCACATAATGAACAATTTCGACGTTAAGCGTTTGTGATTTTTGTACTTAGTAATGAATACCCCCATTTGATTTGCAATGGAGGGCGATAGTTAAAAGAAATTTTGAATGCCGTCTGATTAATTCTTTTCAATGGTAATATTGAGGATTATAATACTTGTCTTCTCGATTAGCTCGTATAATTCAATATTTGACTGTTTTTCTACTCTTAGACCATTCTATGTACTGCTTGTTGACCGGCCACCACTCCCTCCTTAAGGTAAAAACACTGGCAGCTACAAAAACTAGTGTTTCACGGCGTGTATCGACAACCATAAAGCTCGACTAGCATAAAAGTTTAAAAGTGAACATCGCGTCGACTAGCACAAAAATCGAAACACAAATCTTAAATATTGTGAACTTAAAACTATACACAACATATAAATAAATCACAGTTGTTTCAAACATTTTACAATTTGCGCGGCGATCAGTGTTCGGTTTCAGCTATAACAGATCGAGGTAGGACTGATCACGATTTATAAATAAAGGAATTTCATTTGCTTGCTCATACTCTCAATTAATTTAAGTTCGATTTCTCAAAAACGCAAACTACAGTTTGAACATATAATGTTTTTTTTTGTATTTCTGAGAAAATAAGCTATCAAACGTGCTAGTCAATACATTCTCATGAGCCCAATTTGAGACGCAATATGGGGCTATTCAGTCGATAAACTACAAGCCGAAACCTATCAGGCCGGAAAAAAATAGAAAATAAGAAGCCGAAAAAAAGTTTTCATGAAAAACTTGAGCAATTATTTCTGTAAAGATTTAAGCAAATTGTGCAATCCAGCGAGTATACAAATTATACTTTCTTAAAACTACTCAAAGTCAGGTCACTAAGCCGATAACACATAAGCCGAAACCATTAGGGCAGAAAAAAAAACAACGACAAATATACGAAGTCAAGAAATTACAAATAGCAGAAGTAAATTGTGCATATAGAATGAATGTCCTGACTTTGAACTTCGAAAGCGGAGAGTATACAGCTGAACTCCCTTGAACTTGACATTAAACTATCGTAATCATAAAAACTATCGTAATAATCAAACTGTTTGTTGATATTTGATGAAAAAGTTTGATAAAAAATCATACCAGCAATATCGAGACCAGTTGGTTGGGTTTGCAATAAATTATATTGACATAAGAACGTTTTGAAATCATAACATCAACAGGACCCAGCACGATCCTAACATGCATCCGAAGATCGTATCGTGACATTTTATTTAAAGATAGTCTAAAATAAGATTTTACCAAATCGTGACCGTCAAAGCTAGGAATGTCACGGTTTAATCAACAATTCAATTTCTAGAAGAGTCTCTATTTTCATTCGATGACAAGGTCACTCGTGGGAAAAAAATTGAAATGAAAAACGACCAAGAGAAACAAGATAGACTCATTCAGAAGTTGCTCAAGCGATCAGCAACTGGAACACCTAACGGCCAATTATCCCTGAAAACGTGAATCAACTTATAGGGCGAACTTATTAGAGATATGAGTGGAAAGAAGAAGTTATCCTGACTCGGTTTTGAAGTTGTTTAAAAAATTTGTCAGATATGCCCATTCACTTAAAGCTTTATGCGTAAATCAAACTCTCCGCTGTTGGGGGCGTCAAACAATTCATAGAAGAACGATATTGGCCCTCGTCAGTTGTTGGCACAAAAACATGGCAATCAGAATATCAGAGCGTTGGACACCCTCAAAATAGACATCGACGTGTTGAGCAGTTCTGTTGGAAATTCGGAACCAAATAAATTGACAGGAAAAGTTTTTTCCAAGAGAGTTGGCGTGACATTTAGAATGAATGTCATGGCTTTGAACTTTGAGAATCGGAGAGCGTACGGCTGAACTCTATTGAATTTGATATTATACTATCGTATTAATCAAACTGTTCGTTGATATTTGATAAAAAGTAGTTTGACACAAAATCATAAAACCAACGTCGAAACCAGCGGGTTGGATTTGCAATAAACTATATCAATATAAGAATGTTTTGACATCATAACATCAACGGGACCCAGCACGGTCTAACATGCATCCGAAGATCGTATAATGACATTTTATTTTAAGGAACACTAACTAAGGCTATAACCACATAAATGGAAACGATAAAATCAACTTAGGTAAATTGCGTACAGCAAAATAAAAACAATCTTACGATGTAGCAACTGTAGCGACAAAACATAAGTAGACAAATCATAATTTTTTTAACACAGAAGTTTTCCCGTTTGAAAAAAAGAACAGGTCGAGTCACTTTCAAGCCCAAGACCATTGCCGTCCCAGTCGTATTCGTTACCTCAAGGCCAAGTGCGCCGGAGACGCAAAGAAATTTGAATTCAATATGAACTGAACCTAAATTTATCATTTCTAACTTTGACTATTCAGTGAACAAAATTATTTACGGGAAAAAAATTATTTTTTATCACAAGGGTAAAAAATGAGGTGTTTAAAGTTTTAGAAGCGCTCGAAAAATTGACCCCGGTCGTTCCCGTGCGCAGATATCAGATTGGGAACTTCAAAAAATTGAATCACAAGAAGGTTTCAATCAAAACCACATCTACAGACGCCTAATTGGTCTGGAACCTTTAAGACCAGCTTTTTTGCTTATCTTGCCAGTAGTATGCTTATAAGGCAGATCATATTTGCCGTTTTTTTGCTTCTTGCGTCTCCTTTGAAAACATTTCAATCTGGAAAAAAAGATCAATTCGAAGCAAGTCGTAATCGACTTCGTATAATCACAAATCTTGCTCTGGCCCTTAATTTAGCCCAAATTTTGGTGCACGTGCCATACTTGTCTTCGAAAAAAAAGGAAATAATACAAAAAAAAAGATAAAAATGAAAACGTTTTCAAAAGATTCGGATTTTTGTGCTGAATAAAATTTTGATTTTTTATGAAAAAATTTTTTTTGGCATGGAAGAGCTAAATGAAATCTCCGAAACTAGTTTTACTGGTTTTAAAACTAAGTTTTGTGCTATTTAAACACTGAGTAACATTCCGTTGATTATTTGATGGAGAAATTATTGCATGGTGAACAAACTAACTAAAAAGAACACATTTGCTCTTCATAGCATCGACTTCGTATAATCACACATCTTGCTCTGGCCCTTAATTTAGCCCAGATTTTGGTGCACGTGCCATAATCTAGGTTGACTTTAGCTAAATATGATATTCATTTTGAACCAAAGCAGTAACCACAAGCATTCTCAACCTAGTCCCAAAGCTAACGTCCTCTTAATATCAGTTTTTTACCTATTACATAATTTATTCAAACGTTTTTCCATCGAACATCATCAACCTCGCACTACATGCAGTTGAGTCTGGAAATAATCGAAAACAGAACAACCTTAGACTCCGTAGTCCGCTCTTCATAAGCACTATAGCGTTGTCTGATCAGAAAAAAAAACTATTGTTTGGTTTCTTGGAGACTAATAGTGAAAATCAGCTCATAAGTAATAATGAGGGAGGTCATCTCAATTCACATTGGCCAAGCTGGAGTCCAAATAGCAAATGCTTGTTGGGAGCTCTACTGTCTGGAACACGGGATCGCACCTGACGGTTTTGTAGCCAACACTTGGGGTCCAGCAGATGAGTCCTTCTTAACCTTCTTCAACGATACAGGTGCTGGCAAACATGTACCTAGAGCTATTCTATTTGATCTGGAGCCTACAGTAGTCGATGAGGTTAGGACCGGAACTTACCGACAGCTATTCCATCCAGAACAGCTTATAACTGGAAAAGAGGACGCCGCAAATAATTATGCCAGGGGACACTATACGGTCGGTAAAGAGATCTGTGATCTTGTTCTGGACAGGATCCGAAGGCTTGCCGATATCTGCCAAGGTCTGCAAGGGTTCCTACTTTTCCACTCATTCGGGGGTGGAACCGGGTCCGGTTTTACTTCTCTTCTCATGGAAAGGTTAACTGCAGATTACGGAAAGAAAAGCAAACTAGAATTTGCCGTGTACCCTGCACCTCAAATTTCAACAGCTGTTGTTGAACCTTATAATGCTGTTCTAACAACGCACACAAGTTTAGAACATTCCGACGTTGCTTTTTTGGTTGACAACGAAGCAATATACGACATATGCGCCAGATATCTAGACGTAGATAGACCAACATATACGAACTTGAACCGATTGATAGGTCAAGTTGTTTCAGCAATCACAGCTTCATTACGATTTGACGGTGCTTTGAACGTAGACTTAACAGAATTCCAAACGAATTTAGTACCCTACCCTCGGATTCACTTTCCACTGGTAACATATGCTCCTATAATATCAGCTGAAAAAGCATACCACGAGCAGCTTACAACACAGGAAATAACAAATCAGTGCTTTGAACCCATGGCTCAGATGGTGAAATGTGACCCTAGACAGGGCAAATACATGTCAGTGTGTTTACTGTACCGGGGAGCAGTGACACCTAAAGATGTGAATGTGGCCATTGCGAATATCAAGAGCAAGAGCACGATCAATTTCGTTGACTGGTGTCCTACTGGGTTTAAAGTGGGCATTAATTATCAACCTCCGACTGTTGTGCCAGGTGGAGATTTAGCCAAGGTTAGTTCAAGTTATAAATTATTGGAAACGCTTAACTTATTGCAAAAAAATACCACAAAGCTTTTTGGCTCTTTCATATTTACGTCTCCTCAGGAAAATTTCGATTTTTTTTAAAACTACTGGGGTGGGGCAATATATATTTCTGTTACTAAGCGGAGGACTTAATGATCAAATACTAATGCAAGCTATAATAGCTAAGAGCGTGATTTATTGTCATTGGCCATGAAGAACCAATATTGGTTAGCCCTCAACTTTAATTTTCTCGTATGCTCGATTAGAGAAAGCCTATTAAAAAGATGTACAGCCGGTTGCTGTGCAAGTAGACCATATTCATTAAAAAAATTTCAAATTAGTGTCCTTTTTGTGCGTAGTGGGATAAGATAACTATAGGCGTAAAAAGTTAGTACATAAGGCATAATCGACAATACTTGTCTTCGAAAAAAAAATGAAATAAACCCAAAAAATGGGATAAAAATGGAAATGTTTTCAAAAGATTCGGATTTTTTTGCTGAATAAATTTTTGATTTTTTATGAAAACTTTGTATTGCCAAGAAAGAGCTAAATGAAACCTCCAAAATTAGTTTTACTGGATTTAAAACTAAGTTTTGTGCTATTCAAACACTGAGAAACATTCCGTTAATTTTTTTATGCACCTGACTTAGCTTGAAAACAAAAATCAAACACACCTGAAGACAAACTTCCTCCCCATTTTAATTGTCAGAACAAGGAATTTGATGTTTTATTGCAAGTAAAATTGTCAGCGTTAGTTCAGACGTTTAGGTTCAAATTGAATTCGTTGCATTCAAAACGTTATAATCTTGGACAACTTTATATTGTAATTGAACGAGGGAGATGGCGGAAGGGATGCTAAACTGGAAATGAGGCTTTTGCCACATACGAAGTTGAAAAAACATTTCAATGTTTTCATAAAAAATTAACTGCATTCAATTATTGCATGGTGAACAAACTAACTAAAGTGAACACATTTGCTCTTCATACTTAATATCAAAATCTACAAAAAAACTCTAGATCTTCGAGAAATTGTTACAAATTGTCTTGAATAGATCTGATTTTGAAAATATAAATATACCAAATAAAACAATTGAATGTTTAAAAGAGTATCGGGCTCTTTTCCAATCCCCCCTTTCACAATCAATTTTGAAAAGCTTATTTAATGTTGTCATAACGCAATGAAATTTGGCGTGGTGAATGTGAACAGATTTTTTCTTCATACTTTACAGCGTAACATCACGCATTTAGCCGTAATAACACGTAAAACAAACATAAAATTCGGTATTTTGAAAGTGGGGAACTGGAAAAGAGCTGAGCATCGGAAGAAATTTTACGAAGCGGTAAGAACGTCAATAAAATTTGAGCAGACAACCGTTGATCCGAAAAAAAAACATTATTACAGAAACTAAAACAAAATATATATTCAGTCCCTTCAAAACACACATAAATGAAAAACATTTTTCGCGCACAAAACGACGCAACTGAGGCTACTCAGCCGATACAATATTAGCCGTAGCCTTTTGCTCCGAATAAGAAAAAATGAACAAAAAAACGAATATCATATTAGATCGGAGTTAATACAGCCAGTATGAAAAATTTACAGCCAGTATGAAAAAAAGATTTCGAAGAAAGCGGGTAGTAAAATGCTGACACGCTCAAACATATGTTCATTTGAGATAACCGAATTGAGAAATTTGCTCAAGGATTCTATTAAACGAGTTTTTTATGTGAAAAAAATCTTATTTCCGATTTGATAGCGCTTGCTAATTGCCAGCGAAATTCAATTTTTGAATAACTTTACAAAATAGATCATTATTAATTCAAATTATCTAGATTACAGATTGCCTATTTTCTATTGGGGTACCTATTTTCTATTAGGGCAGGGATTCCGAAAAATTTATCGGAGCAAGAACAATCAATTATTTGGTGCACCAATCAATTAATTGTAATTGGGCACCTTGACCAACTAATTATTGCAACTATTTGGCAATTATTTTGGAAAGAAAGAAAAGAATGGTAAAACAAGAATTCAATCCTATTTACGAACACATCCTGTTTTTTTTTCAGTTAAATGACGGTGAACCACTAATAAAAATGACTGTCAAACAGAACAAAAATTCATGCGGTGATGCTGGCAACTAACTCGTCCAAAGCGATTATTTGTTGAAAAGCGGGAGTCATTCCGCTTCATTTCATTAACTCCAAATAATTGCTTTTAATTGATTATTCACCAATCAATAAAATAATTGGTGAAATCCTGTCACTCAATTAATTGGATGACAACTTAATTGCCAATTAATTGGACTCCAAGTAATTTTTCGGAACCCCTGCCAACAGGTGATAAAATTTTAGGCGCTATCAGTCAAAACTGAATTGAAGGCATTTCTTACGCGTAACCAAATTAGACAAAGATGTTTCAATTTTCGCAAACAATTAAGCGAAATCTACAGAAACTCGAAGTTCAGCGAGCGATTCAGGTTCGAAAAAATGAACAAGTATTAGGACAAGCATTTGCTTAAGCAATAACTTATTTGTAAGAATGGTTTAATGTTTATATGTATCATTTCTGTTTAGGTCCTCAGAGCAGTATGTATGCTGACTAACACTTCGGCCATTGCGGACGCCTGGGCCAGATTAGACTATAAATTTGACCTCATGTACTGCAAGAGGGCATTCGTACACTGGTACGTGGGGGAGGGCATGGAGGAGGGGGAGTTCAGTGAAGCGAGGGAGGATCTGGCTGCCCTGGAAAAAGACTACGAGGAGGTCACAATAGACAGTGCCGACATGGAGGGCGAGTGGTGACGTCACCAACCAAGTCACATGATCAAAGCAAATCACGCGTGAAATCAAAACCGTTCAAAAACAGCGTGTTCTATCTATAATATATAAATGCTAAGCTGGTAGAAACAACGTTCGGAACAATTCTGGAAAAAATTGAATATTTTCTCACGCTTATGATCTTTTCTTTTATCTGCATTCTTCGAGATTTTTGAATTACTTATTTAGAGAAGAGTCAAAGAGATACTGATACAATGGGACGTATTTAAATGTTAAACGCAAAAAAAAAACAATTTCTACAAAAGTATCAACGCTGATAAGTAAATTGTATCAAAGAAATCGAGTTCGATTTTCGAACTCGAATAATCAGTTGTTCTTGTATGGTTTAAATACTTGGAAAGGCAAAAAAAAACAGACAAACGTTTCCATTAAAATATGCATTTTCGAGGAAGCAAAACTTTTGAATGACTCCTTTGAGGAGGGGAAACTAACACCAGCTGCTGGCCTACGTAATCAAATTTTCCCTAAATTACTCAAAGTCCCCGATCTCCCCTTGAAATCAAATGGCAATTTCAGGAAGGATAGTCAGCATGATAATTGCTGAATTGTGATTGGGGGAAAAAGAATTCTTCTAACAAAGTGAACGATTTCTCACGAAGTGATATCGGAGGTAGATTATCCTCACTTAGTCAGAAATATCTAACATCAGACCACCTTACATAATTATGCAGACAACTATTTAGAATGGAAAATCTAACACTTGTATCTATTGTACTGAATAATCGTAAAAAATACATATGATGTCAAAGTATTAAATAGCAAGTTAGGTACGGTTAGTAATTTTAATTAAAAGTTAAATAATCCACAATCAAGTTCATATTTATCCAAAACCTCAACAAATAGTGCACCCATAGAGTCACTTTTTAAACAATTTACAAATTTATTCACCTCAACTTCAATCACATATGGCAAATATTAGTAGCTTCGTCCGAACAATGTGAACATTTTCGGCGCATTGTTGCATTTCCCATTAATGCACTTGCATTTAGACACGTCCTCTCCCTTGGGTTGTTCAAATGGAATACAAAGACTCTTTGCGCCCATTGAAGGTGCATTGGCGTCAATGTCTCGTCCTTTGGCGCTTTCCTCTTTAATTTCACCCTCGCAACTTTTATCGCCGCAAAACGGTGCCAGCAGAATATTTTTCTGATCCAACAAGGTGCAAAAATCATCCATCGTTTTTGTAACCTTCAAGTGGGTGTTTAGATTGACCTTTGCCTTTTCGAACAAATTCTCCTGAATTGTTTCCATTAGGGTCTCAATCACTGGTATGACCTCTTCGCGCTTCACAAATGACCTCTCACCAGTATCCCTTCTCACAAGTGTCACCTGACCCTTCTGTAGATCTTTAGGTCCAATTTCGATTCTGACTGGGATTCCCTTCAGTTCCCAGTGATTGAACTTCCACCCCGGACTGTAGTTCGGTCTCAAGTCAGTTTTGCTCTTCAGGCCATGTTCGTTCAATTCCTCGCACAACTTGGTGCAATGGTCGTTAAGCTCTTTCTCATTTGCCTGATCGCTCACACCACAAGGGACAATAACCAATTTGAAATGGGCCACTCTTGGCGGTATGACCAGTCCACGATTATCGCTATGGACCATGACCATAGTTCCAATGGTACGAGTAGAAAGACCCCAACAATTCTGGAACACGCATATTTGCTCACCTGCGTTGTTCGGATCCTCGTACATAATGTTGAACATTTTAGAGAAGTTTTGTCCCAGGTGATGACTGGTTGCACCCTGAATACCTCGACCACATTGTGAAATGAAGGCCTCACAAGTAGTTGTGAAGTCTGCTCCAGGGAACTTTTCCTTCTCAGTTTTCCTTCCTTTGATGACTGGAATGGCCAGGAGCTCCTCGAAGACTCTGGAGTACAAGTGCAAAATAGTGTGAACTTCTTCGATCGCTTCTTCAGGGGTAGCGAAAGCAGTGTGTCCTTCTTGCCACAAGAACTCTCTAGTTCTCAGAAACGGAGTAGGATGTTTGAACTCCCACCTCACGACACTGTTCCATTGGTTCAACTTCAGAGGCAGATCCCTGTGACTTTGGATCCATTTTGCATACGATGGGTACATGACGGTTTCGCTTGTGGGTCGGATAGCAATCGGTTCTGCCAACTCACTTTTGCCCGACCTCGTCACCCACGCTACTTCAGGAGCAAAATCAGCAATGTGGTCTTTCTCTCGTTCCAGAGCACTTTTCGACACAAACATTGGAAAATAGACGTTTTCCACATCCAGCTTTTTGATCTCGGCATCGAAGAATTTTTGAATCTTTTCCCAAATAGCGTATGCCAGAGGTCTCAAAACGTAACATCCAGATACGTCATAATATTCAATCATTTCGGCTTTTGTTATAACTTGCGTGTACCACTCCGAGTAGTTGTCTTCCATAGTGATTCCCAATCCAAGTTTAGTTTCCTTCTTTTTCGATATATAGCCTTCGCCTTCATTTACTCCTTGCTGCTTCTTATCTTGTCCCTTTGAAACCTTGTCTTTCTTTTTGGCGCCCTTGGAATTCTCTTTGTCGCTATCTTTCGAAGGAGGTTCTGATTTCTTTCCACTATCCGCGTTTGAAGCACCTTTAGGTTTCCAATCATTGCCCGTGACTTTCTTGTACTCTGTCTTCAATTCTAACAGAGATTTCACTTCGACATCTATTTCTTCTTTAGACGCTTTATTGGTCTTCAAAATTCGAATTTTGTCACCCTGGGATGCGATTTTTTGATCCAACTCACTTGCATCAGTCATTTCACCTGAAACAGACTGTTTATCGGCCTCTGGTTTCGACGCAAGAAACTTTTCGGCTACTTGAGGCGAGTAGTCCGACCCAGTTGCTGTCTTAAATTCGGCTTTAAGAGCTAGTAACTTATCAACCGCAGGTTTTACTTCTTCATTGGGCTTTTTTTCGGTTTTCAACTTTCGCACTTCATCACCCTGCGAATTTATACCCTCAACCAATTTCTTAATTTGATCTAAATCACAACTTTTGTCTGATTTTGCATCTCCGGCATCTGTTGTTTTGCTACTCTGTTTTTGTTTATTTCCTTCTTTAGCGCTGCTTTGCTTGCTATTTTTTGAAGCAACTTGAGCCACTTGTTTCTCTTGTTCTTCTTGCGATTTGTGACCATCCGGTATGTAGATGAAAATAGCTGGTAGATCTTTGCCAATGACTGGATTGAAAGGTTCGTACGCTCTGTCACATATAAAGAAGCCTTTTCGCTGGATCTGAATTATGTCTTTCACCTTCACATTGACCATATTGTGATCCCCGACCAAAACTTCTTCTTTCAAAGAATCCCAATTAATATAGTCTTTCATGTCTTCGTCTTTTCCCAATACCGGCTTAGAAATCAAATGAGAATATGTCCTAGCAATTATGGGAACACTTGTTGCTTTTGAGTGAGTTTGTGGAAGCCATGTCAATTTGTGCTTTGTTGCTTTGAAATTTGTATCCTCTAAATTCAATTTACTCTCGATGCCTGTCACTTGTTTGCCATCAGCAGACCAAATTATCTTTTTGATCACACAGTTTCCCCAATTAATGAGTGTAACACTTTCGCCCTCCTTCAACAGAACCGCGTCCTGTTGCTCAATTAGAATCACTTTACTGTACGCAACCTGTTTCATTCCAATCTCCTTGTTTTTAGGGTGCAACTGATGATCTTTAACCTCTTCACCGTTAACACCCTCCAGGGTAACGGGTACTAAACTATCTTCACTTAAAGCCGTGTATCGAGGCGCAATTGGATCGATGATTTTCTTGTTGAACGCCCAGATTTTGTCCCATTCCATTTGCACAATAGATTTAGATCCACCTTGAGCAGCGATGAAATCCTTTAGTCCCTGTACTGTCATTCCGTGTCTCAGGATTCCTCGCACCGTCGGGAATCTAGGATCCTCCCAAGAATCGACAACACCTTGACTCACAAGCCAAGTTAGCTTACGCTTAGACAGAACTGTGTTCTGAAGGTTCATCCGAGCGTACTCCCAAATATACGGTTTCCTGATTTGAAGCTTTTCAATCAACCAATAGTACTGCTCGTCCCGATCATGATACTCCGTAGTCCTCAATGCATGAGTAACGCCTTCGATGCTGTCAACAATTGGACAGGCAAAATCGTACGTCGGATATGCTTTGTATTTATCACCAGTCGCGACATGAGTTTCGTTTTTGCACCGGTACAACGTCGGATCACGCATGCAACCATTGTTAGAATTCATATCAACTTTAGCACGAATACAACACTGCTGTCCGTAATCTGTCCCCTTGATCATCTCCATCCACATGCTTAAATTCTTCTCAACGCTGTTCTTCCGGTTATGGCTTTCAGTTCTTGTCTCCCGCTCTTTCTTCATGGTTTCCGCATCCGTATCATCGGCATACGCGTTGCCTTCTTTGATCATTTTTTCACAGTACTGAAGCATGAGGTCAAAGTAGTCAGAGGTTCTCGTTTCGCAATCTGGCTTTACTTCAAGCATCTCCAAGTCCTTTCGAATAACATTCTCAAAGTGCTCATTCTCCTTCGCCGGGTTCGTATCATCAAACCTCAGAATCAATTTACCTTTGAATGTTTGCTGGTAATACTGATTTACAAGAGCTGCCTTAGCGTGGCCGATATGTAGGTAGCCGCTAGCTTCAGGCGGAAACCGCACAACGACTTTGCCAATTTCTGCACCTGGAAGCTCCACGAATTTGCCGACATCGTCCTGTTTTGCCTTCTTTTTAGGACTACTTGCACACTCTTTGCTTTGAGGCAAGTCGTTAGGAAGTTCGCCCAGTTCAGACGAGATAAATTTTTGCCACCTTTTCAGATGCGCCAGCTTCTCAGTATCTGCTTTGCTCCAATGCAGAGCATTCCAGAGTCCAAGGTCTGCAACAGTTAGACGATGGCCAACCAAGTACGTTAAGGTAGAAATTTTGTCATTGAGCAACACAAACGGCACTTTTTGTTCCAACACTTCGTCTGCCACTTGAAGCCAAGAGTCAATTTCCGCACACTCCAAAGGATCGGTGCTGTACAAGATCCCAGAGCTAATGAGCCTCCCGTAATAACGCAAAAAATTGGAAGAACATAGATTGTCCAATTTTGTTCCATTTAGTGAAACCGATTCATTCGTATGCAAAGTAGCATCGAAAGAAAACCCATTCTTTTTGGAATAATGACTCAAAATAGGAAGAAGAGACAACATTATCTGAAAAATTCAATATTTAAATATGCGGGGTAAATTTATTAACTCTACCAGTAAACTTCTAGATTTTAAGAATAACTACAGAGTCGAAAAAACCATTCCCAATTTTTTGAAAAAAAAATATACACTAGCTAAAACGCACAAAAATTTTCAGGAAAAAAAAGAATTTTGACTAATTACTCAAAGCATAGAACATTCTGACGGCTTGTCAATACAAAGAAGAAAAAGTGCAACATTTTACGCTTCTCAAAATCAAACTAAAATCACATTTCAAGAAGAACAGCTAGCCAGGGATGAAGAAAAAACACTTGAATAAACACAGTAAAGTGACTGATTTTTTAGTAGCAAAATTGATTGTTTGTTAGTACACTCCAATAGTTGATTAAGAAAAATTATTAAAGTTTGCTAATCGGAAGCATAATAAAACATACTTCTGCTTGGAAACATCAAGCAATAATACAATATTAGCTATCAATAAAACCAATTTAAAAAGATCATTTTACACGAACGCCATTTCTTAAAGCGATAATAGAAAATTAATACAGAGTAGACTAAATAAACTGATGTGATACCTAGAAGAAGAAGAAGAAGAAGAATTTATTTCTTCAGACAATTAAATGCAAAAATACAGAAAATGAAGAAACACATTTTTAATGGTCATCATTGAATTTATCTGACATTTTGTATAACATATCTGAAGAGGATAGACCAAGGGCATAATAATTGCCCGCTTGACGTCTACCCTGGTAGTAGTAAGACACGAAAAGTATAATAACTATAAATAAAAAGTATTTAAATAAAAAAAAATGAAAATTTTTTCAATTAGTTTTTTTTCCACTCCTTTCGAAAACATTTTTTTTCGAGAATTTATTTGAAGGATCCGGATCATGATTGCAGCTTAGCTTAGTGAGCATCAGTTAAAACCAAGGATCGTAATAAAAATTTGAAATTTTTTTTTTTCTAAGTAATTTTGGAAATTTCATTTTTTTCAAAAAATGCGATTATCTCGAAAACTACAAGGATTTGGAGCTTCATATTTTCAGCATGGATTCGCAGCCCATAATTGAAGTCTGATACAGGTTAACCAAAGGGTAAAATTTTGAGTAAATAAAAATATGGTACTATTGATTAGACATTCTGTGATTATTTATCGAAAATAAAGTTTGTTAACTCATTATTTCCTAAAATGTATAAATACTTTAATTTGTGAGCTACCGTAAGCACCTGGCTTGCATTTAGAGACTGCGAATTAATTGGCATAATTCCGTTTTCCTGAAAATTATTTAAAAATTTGGTTCCCCGTTTAGTTAAAGAGTGGTTTTCTATTTGGGATTTTGGCTTACATATTTTCAGTAAATTCTGTTCCGATCCTCTGGTTCTTTTAATAGAATTATCAAAAGTAAAAAGCGAGTTGAGATAATTTTCTGAATGCAGGTTCGATAGTGACCTTAATAGAAACTTGAAATACTCATAAATATACAATTCATGAACTGTAAGTATTTTGTGCTTAACAAATATATCTGATACGCTTTCGCAATTGTTTCGAAAAGAAATGAGTCGGATAATTTTTTTCTGTAATTCAAAAAGCGGAAGTAATGCATTGTAGCTTGTGCAACCGTACACTAAAATTCCATACTGAATGATAGACTAAATGTTTGATTCATAATACCTAAACATAACAGAGCTCGGCACGTAATGCCTTGTTTTAGCAATTATTCCACATTGTTTTCGTAATTTTTTTCTGACAAAATCAATATGATTAGAAAATCCTAGTTTGAAATCAATGTTAATACCTAAGTATTTCCAATATATTCCTGGCGATAAGTTTTTGCCATCATATAATATTGTTTCATTAGAAGCGCTTTTCCTAGCGAAATTTATTTGAACTGTTTTTTTTTTCATGTTAAGTGAGAGCCTATTAGCGGCAAGCCATTTCGCAACTGCATTAAAGTCATCACTCAGTTTTTCGAGTGATCGATCTATTGCTACTAAAGTGGTATCATCGGCAAACAAGTATACTTCCGAGTTATTGACAACGTTTGGTAGATCATTGACATATAAAAGAAATAGAAGTGGACCTAAAATGGATCCTTGTGGAACACCGCTGTTCATTGTTCGAAAATTTGATCGCACACCAGATATCTCTACACATTGTTTACGATTTGACAAATAGCTCACTATGTATTGTAGACATTTACCTACAAGACCATAATATGGCAATTTTTCAATTAAGATATCATGATTTAGGGTATCAAAGGCCTTCTTTAAATCAAGGAATATTGATGGAATGAATTTCTTATCTGAAAGGCGCAATTTTTCGGTAACCTCGGCGATGGCATCAATGGTGTTGTGTTTGATTCTGTATCCAAACTGTTTACAGTATATGAAGTTTTGGTATACCTCATGTTTTGGTATGCCTAATTACACTAATGTTACGCGTTATGTTTGGACATGGGAAATCTGAAATTAAACCCATTGTCGAACTTTGAATTCGATCACGTTTTTCAAGACTTTTACTTTTTTGCTGTTCAATAGCTGTAGAGTTACCCTTCTTTATAACAAAGGAAATGAACTGAACTTAAGAAAGTGAAACCGCGAAACAATCAGATTTGAGCGACAACAAAATTAAAGACTTTTCTTTTCAAAAACAAAACAAAAAAATCATCATGACCCATAAAAGAGTCTTCACTATGTATATCGACGCTTAGAAACTTTGTCTCGAATAGATTTCAGTTTCAAAAAAACAAGTCCAGTAAACAATCGCCGGCGGAAACATTTAGCGAGCGGCGACTAGGCCGAAAAATCTTGGGTACGTTTCCATTGAGCCAAAAACATCATGAAAATCTGAGCTATAAGTTTTAGAATTCAAAGATTGTCAGCCAATTTTGTGTTTCAGGATACACCACGCAAATTGTGCTACAGGAAACCACGCAAAGTTAGGTCAATTAGCCGATGAGCAAAAGACGAAACCATTCAGGTTGAAAGAAATGTCTATGCAAAAAGTCAAAAGAAAACACTCAAAGAAAAGAAAATCAAGGCTGCAAAAATTATAAAGTAAATCTAAACACTTATACAAGGATAAGGCTTACTGCACAAGATAATTCTGTGATGTAGCATCTAAGTCACCAAAACTTGAACATAGCCAACAAATTGGAAAAAAGTTAATGAACAAAAGAAAAACCAAAAAAAAAAATGTTTTTTTTTCAGATCAACTTTTGAATTTAAAAGCCAAAAAACATGCCGCTTTAGAGCTCTTTGAGTTTCAAGTAAAATTGATGATTGACAGTTTTCTGAAATCAATAGGTGAATTTTATAGTCGGCTCGAAAATCGGAAAATTAAAAAACTCTTTCGATATTAGAAGTCAATCACGTTTTTGTGACCTTTAAACTTTTGTTGTTTGAACGTACGGTTCACCTTCTTTTTAACAAAGGAAACGAATTGAACTTCTAAAGAATTCAGAAGTCAAACTGGGAAAAACCAAACTTGAGCGTGAACAAATAAGAAGATTTTCCGGAAAAAATTACCTAAAAAGAATCTTCATTAAGTTCATCGACTCCTAATCAGACAAACGAAAGGCCGATCATCTTTTAGAAGAGACTATTTTCAGTTTGAAAAGAAAAGGTCCAGACCGGATTTGAACCTAGAAATTTTGCTGTCCCAGGCGTAATTGTCGCCTTTCGACCAAGGGAGTCGGAGAGCAAAAAATTGAATTATCTTAAATCAAGCAGGCACACGACTCAGATGATTTTGTTAATCAAGTTGTTGAACTGAAAAGAGTCCAAATTGTGATTTGATAACGCTTGATAAACGCAAGCATAAGACAATTTATGTTCAACAGAGGCTAATTTGAGCTTCCCGCTACTTGCGACACCATACATTATGCCAATCTTAGAAAGAATGATCTGAAAATGACAGCAATAAATTCAGTTTTAATAAAAACAAATTTGTAAAAAATCAAGTTTACTACTCGGTTTCTGAGCAAATATCACAATGCTACGAAGTAAATCAAGCTACTGAAGTAATTTTTTTAAAAATGAAACTAAAATTCGGAACATTTCAGTTCGCCTGCGGTTTTCTTGAGCCATATTAGTTGTTGCAATTCTAACCACAAATGCTCATTTATTCATCATCAGCATTTAGATACAAACTTCGCATTGCAAGCTAGTGGACAGCAACTCTTCAAAATAGCAAACTATCTACAAAAACTTCATACGTTTGTCTTACTGAAAAAAAAACGCCCAAAAACACAATCGCAAGCGTCAACTATAACCGAAAAGCAATTGAACAAAACTAGTCATAGTAAAATTAATGTTCGAAATGATTCAATTACTCTGTTAGAAAAATTGTTTACATAGGAGCCAGTCTATTTCCCATTTGACAACACTTTCTAATCACAAGCGTGAAAACAATCGCCAAATCCGAGTTTGAGACATACTCACAAAAACTATATAACACTCGCATGATGCCCGAATCGAGAATCGAGTGGGAAAGTCGAAACTTTACGCGAAGCGGAATTTTGCAACAATTGCGATAGTGGGCAAAATAGCACGAAAACTAGCCAAAAACTAATAAGACAACGGCCAATAAAACGAAAAAAAAAATGAAACAAATGACGAAAAAAAACAACAACCAAAACTTTTATAAATTTACTATAAGTTAAGAAGATTAGTTTGAGGAAAACATTAGGAGTCTCAGCCGACATTTCTTTGACCATTGAGCCGAAAAAAATTTCAGTACAAAAATTCTAGCTATAAAAAGCTGTGAAACGCTTCTACTCAAAGCCAGGGCATGCGAATTTTGAATAGGCTAGGGCCCCCAGAACTAGGCGAAGAGTATCTCCAACACTTACATTCAACAGTTTATATCACTACCACCTGATAAGTGGCCCATTATACATCAGCGATCTGGTTGAATCACGCACAACCATCGTACGATAGACGCAATCGAAAGCCAGCAGAATTAATGCGTAACACAAAACAGGATGCTTAAGGATAGCCAA